GTGAAGACCGCTATTAGTGTATTCAGAATCGTGGTAGTTTAATATACATATTAAATGCGACTGGACTGGTAGTGGCAAATTGGATATCACTCAGAATTTAAACCTAGCCGCACCTAGCCTCCCACTCCGGTGAGGAGAGTTAGAACGCAAGGAGATTTATTTTCTGCCAAATTAACACAACAAGCAGGAATATATTATTTAAAGCTAACCAGAGGGCCTGGCATGCCTTGTGGTCCTGGAGGTCCTCTGATCCCCTGTAGTCCTCTTGGGCCCTGATGTAAAAAAGCCATTGAAAAAAAAGTCAGTTCAATGCTGATAGCCTTTCAAAGATTATTAGATTGCTGCAACAACCAGAATCTAAGTGCCTGTTTCGCAAGCCTTAATGCACAGGTGAAACTTCTGGCTGTTTGGTTGTAAGGATTTGCCTGTGTGAAGCAGCTGAGATGGTCACTGCCTGAGGGCCATATTCAGAGAGTCAGTATGGTGCTGAAGACACCAAGGGAGCAATAAAAAACCCGTTATCAGCTAGGCACACTTTCTCCAGATGCCAATATCTTAAAACTTAAAGTTAAGAGCATCTTTAGAGCACCTGAGAGCACCTTAAAACTGGATGCTACTGTAAGCAGTCTACCATAATTCTCTTCAAAATTACTCCACCAAGCAAATTTTTAAAACACAGCTTTCCTCATTGGTTTTGTCAATCAGTATATTACTTTCATCATTTTAATGCAACCTGGAAATATAGTACATTCAGAAATGCAATAGACTTTATGTACTTATTGCTAGTAATTTCTAATGAATTCATTTTGAAGATATCTGCTTGATAATATCCTGTAAGCTAGAGATGTGTGGCTAAATTACTTATTTCTGCGATTCACTTTCATCTTTTCATTTCACTAGAAGCTGCACCCACATAAACTGAAAAATAAACTTGCCGCATTCAATTCTTCAGGGTTACAGAGCAGATTTGCAAGGAAGAATCTTACTCGTAATATTCATTAGCTGAAGTATACAAAGCATTCAAATGAAACAAAAGACCAAGACTGACAACTCATCTTCGCCATAGCTAACATAAAAACAACTCAGAAGTTCTTTTAGTTACCTGTGGGCCTGGAAGACCAGAGACTCCTGGGTAACCTGCTTCCCCCAGATCTCCTTGCTCACCCTGCCAGAATAAAAAAAAAGCAACAACCAAATCGAATAAATTAACACCTGTCATATGTACACCAACAGAGAACAATTTCATATCTGCAGCGTATCAGTTGATAGAATTGATAGAATGCTTTTCAGTGCTCCCAAACAGCTTTCAAGCAGCTTCAAATTCCTGTTGAAGAAAACACAATTAAGAAGCAAAAGAGCTGAGTAGCTTTTTTTGTTGTTTAGGGTGTGTGACGAATAGAAGAGCTGCAGTGCAAGAGGTCTTCCATCTCCTTTGCATTTTGCTAAGTAATCCCAGACAAAACATGAGAAATATATCAAACCTATTAAACTGAGCAAACTGTTACCAGGTGTCCTCTAAAAGCATGTTTTCTACAGGTCAAACACTTTCATATTGTGAGCTTTGATAAAGGAAATAGGGCTTTGGCATAGACTTTGAAACAATTGCTACTTGAGGACTGAGACCAAGAGTACATGCACATCATGCTGTCTCCTCTTTGATGCTAGGACTGCACTGGGATTGCATGAGTATGACTTGGAAAGCGGGTCTGAATTTTGCCCTGACCATGCTTGTGAGTGAAGAGTTGCATAGAACAATCCCTACTCAAAATGCTGGTTTGCACATTTATTCAGAAGCTACAACTCTGCCCATTCCCCAGACTCCAACACAGGGCAGGACTTCAAGACATATTCCATCCTTCAAGTACTGACAGTGTCACACATGAAATTGTGATGTTCCCCTGGGTCTATAAGCACTAAGATAAAGGGGAAATGCTATAGCAAGGCACAGCTGTGTTAGCAACTCTGTAGAGAGATTGGGTCAAATGTGAGCTACTTGTGCTAGAGCAATGTGTTTTCTGGAATGATAGTATAACCTATACTTGAGAAAGCAAGCAACAGGATAGAGATAACGGATATATCTTGCAAGCAGATGTATGGGAGTCATGGTTTTAGATGTTCTTATAGACTCCCACCAGGGTGATGGACAAAGGAAAATGTTTATTCGCTCTGTCCTAAAAAAAATGAAAAAGCGAAAAAAAAAAAGAAAAAAGAAAGCTGAGTCTTCTCAGGTTCCTAGAATCTAACTTTTACTTGCACTAATCCACTCTTGAATTTAGCTGCTTTTAGATTTGCTTTGATAACTGTACTTTGTAATTTATCCTCTGGGACAAACAAGCTTTCTTTTCCAAGAACATTATCTAAAATATCATTTAAGAGAATGGCAGTGATGTCTTCACCAGTCATCTCAGGAAAGTTTCTTTTCATTGTGGCTCCATGGGGTATAGGTCTAGAAAAACCTGGGCTACCGCCTAACAATGGCACAAGAGAACCTTCCACCAGAGGATCTTTCTGGAATGATCAGTCAGCATGCACTGGGGTTGACCTATTCCTTACATCCTATACGAGCATTCAAACTACACTATATTCTCTTAGATGTCTACTTGGGGAATTAAATTGTTTTCAAAATCTTGATTCTTTTACATGCTTCGAGCCAATTTTCAGAGCTGCAGTTAACACTTAAGTTCATGTTTTAGTAAAGCATCATTTAGAACTTGCCTTAATTTTGTCTCTGCTGCATATGTGCGTCATGCATGTATCTGTGTGCCTGCAGCAAAGGAGGAAAAAACTGTCAGTCTTCATCTTTACAGACAGTCTCTTCTGCATTTATGTTCCCACATTTGCCTTAATAATAAAAGTAACTGTCTTTTTCTTTCAGTGAAAGCTCCTTTCCAATTCTAAATCCTTCAAGTCAGGAGGGCCTCTTGTACTTCCACCTGCGGTCCAAAGGCTGCCTTGGTTTTAAATAGACTTTTGATTGTTAAACACTTGTGTCTTGGATCACACTGAAAGTTTTCCCTTAACAGGAGCAAATGTTGAGGCTGTGCATGTAGCTGCATATAGATAGGTAGCAGCAGTGTCAGCCACTCACCTTTACACCTGGAGGGCCTCTTCGACCTGCTGCACCCTAGGAAGGATTGGTATGAAAGATTACATCCAGAACACTGAGCAATACGTGAAACAACAGCTTATAAGAAAATACATTATACGTACAATCAAATAAAATACAGCTTATAGAAAACAGAGATTACTTCCAAAGAAAGGTTTAAGGTAAAAATAAAAAAGAGTGGATTTGGGACAGAAATTCTTACACAAGTAAGCCTTATTTAAAAAAAAAAAAGCTGCAGACCCTTCACGAGTGCAGAGGGAAGGCATCTCAGCAAAATTCTGGAAAACATCTTCCCAGTCAGCTGCCCCACGACTAAAATAAAGAGAACAAGAGCCCTCTTCTCTCCCTCTGAGCTAAGAGGTCTGCACACTGCTCAGCAGCACTAGTGAAGGTTACTGATAAACCTCATGTCACTACAGGCCTTTAGGATGTTTCTCCAGCCTGGCTGAGGAGTGATCATCATTCCAGACTTTGGCATTAGGCACCTTTCTGACAGACTAGAAGAGGTGCCTTCGTAAGTTCCAGTCTCCAGTGGATTAAAAAAAGCAGCTCAGCTGCGAGTGAATTTATATACAGGCTTGAACAGGCATACAGAACTTGCAGTCACAGGGAGGAAGAAGGGATAGATTAATCTATGGTGAAAATATGAAGCAATTAAGGCTCACAGAAAAGATTACATTGAGCTTAAGGCTTTTGACTTCATACAAATCAGACCTGAAATTAATGGGACAGCAAATTCCTGATTAAATAAAAAACAGAACACATTGCAATACACATAAGCTACTAAATTTGAAGCCAAGTATGTTTCACTATGAAAACTTTAGAAGGTTTTTGTTCCCTCTCACTGCAGGAGTTTTAAGTGTGGGATAAAAGGAAGAGGAGAAAAATTGGTTTTCTCAATGGGAACCCCATTGTATCTTGTATCAGTCACTTCCACCCTGTATTGATTACTATCCTTACATCAGGGCCGGCACCACCCTGCTCTCCTTGTAGGCCACGTGGTCCTGGGTCTCCCTGCAAACCAAAGTAATGAACAAGCTCTTTAAATACTCTTTCTTTTTCTTGTACTTACATATTCTTCCTTATACATTCCTTCTTTACTTCTTCTTCTAAGTAATTTCATTGCAATCAGTTGTACCATGCTAAATGCTGATTCTTGTATTCTGAAAATCACTTACAACCAAAAAATACAAACCAGAGAGATCATGCTTGCTTTGGATTTCCAATCCATTGGTCACTAACAGCTGATACTCGGTCAAAGCTTTTGTAAAATCATTTTTGTTGACTTCAGTCTTTCAGTTGGACTCCTTAAGATGACAAAGCTTGATGAGGTTTGTTTCCAAAAAGTCATCAAGACACAATTATTCTCCAAACAGTGACCCTCAGCTTTTCTACTGCTTTCAGCACGCTCTACATAGACGTATATGCACACACATGTGTCTGAACACGTGCACACAGCTCTACATGTTCAGATAGAATCAGACTTCTAAAATAGTGGATTTTTCTCACGTGTTGCTAGTTCTCACCCTCTTAAGCTTTCATCCACCATTACTTATATACCACTGTAGAACTACTTATCATCTTTTCTTATTCTTTCCAAACAAAGTGCAATGGTAAGATGGGCTGTGCTTTTATTGCTTAAACACCTCTTAAAAATTCAGACATCACTATATAAGCACGTATCCCAGCTCTTATATTCTAGATACAGGTCAAAACGGAGTTTATGCACAACCTTGAGGAAATAGCAGTTCCATAGTAGAATGAGTACAGCCTGTTGATACCCAGTGCATTTTTCCCAGCACAGTTATTAACAGTGTACTTACAACCCATTACTAGAAGCCTCTCAGGCTGGTGATGTAAATTTGTGGTAGAATAATATATTTCTACTAAATCTCTAACTTCCCTTATCCCTATATCATGAGAATATTTCCACAGTCTTTGTTAACATTTTTAAGACAGTATTAAGCATTTCTCAAAGCTTTCTGTGTTGCAGACCCACACTAAAGTCAAAATTAAAAATAAAAAAAGAGTTGCTTAGTCACTGGACTAAGAATAGAACTTAGCAGTTACACAAATCCTCTCTCCGTATTATAGAACCACTGGCTTACCTGCTGTGCTGGGTTTCCCTTTTCACCCTTAGGACCAGGAACATTATTGCTAGTTCCAGGATCTCCCTGGAAAAGTTAAGCAGAAACCTCAGCATTTTCAGCGACTGCACCTTTATTACTCTGCTTACAGATGCAGGAAACAGGATTAATGAGATTTGTCATTGCAACCAACAAGAAACACAAAAGCTACTTTAAATGGAGATGCTTGTAAGAACACTAAATAGGCAGCTCTGCAAAGTCCACAAGTTTCTTCTCCAAAGAGGTTAAAAGAAATATTACTACTGGGGAACAAATTAAACCCTGAAAATGTGAAGCTGTTCTGGTTGTTTGGGTGTAGTTAGTTGAGTTAAGATAATAACTAGTTAGTGAGTTTCAGATGGGGTTACACTAGAATGGAGTTCGATTTAGCCACTTAATACCAGTCACAGATGAAATCCTGATCTCCCAAAGAGGCAAGTTACTATGAAGCCTGATTTTTTTTTTTTTTAAGTTAGAAGACAGAAGTAAACACTATATTTGACTGTTTGGAACAAAGGTCTTTGAAATATGTGTAAGAAGACTTAAAGCTGTGATACAAGAAGTGTGGTGGCTCCACTGAAATTTTAGTCTCAGTGACTGCATTTACATAGGGCTCTGGAGCATGCAAGGAAAAAAATGTCAGCATGAAGAAGTAATTTGCCTTTGCATCATTATAAATTGCTAACCAAGAGTCAGCACACAGGGTTTTCAAATGATCCAGAAATTCCGCTGCATGGTGGGAACCACTAGGGAGGACTGGGTCGCTCCAGAAGGAGTTATGTTGCCCATGCTAAAAAACCCCAAACAAACAAACAAATAAATAAATAAAACAAAATGCAAGGGACAAACAGGACACCTGAGGTTTAAACATCTGCTTCCAAGCAACATTTCAAAACACATCAGTCCATCTGCATCTAAAGAGTTCAGCACTCCTGGAATATGCCATACTTCTTGTCGAGTACTGCACCATATAGGATGTGAAAAACTCTTCAAATCACATATATTTCAAGCAGCTCCATCATGAAATCCAGGCATAAATCAGTGCAACGAAACAAAAATGAAGGAATACACTTACATGATCTCCTCTTAGACCAGATTCTCCTCGTTCACCTGGTTCTCCTCTGGGTCCTTTTCTGCCCTAAATTCATAAAAAGAGCATGAGCAATTTGGGTATAGATAGAATCAGTATCTGTGTTAGAGAAAGGCCAGGTAAGAGAACACATATCTGTTTAAGTCAGTGGAGCTACACTGATTTACAGCAGGAGTCACATCATATCAGAGAACTGGCAGCTATTAAAAACAACTCTCAGGCATTACAGATAGCATTACACTGTGGAAAGATGTTTCCATAAAATCTAAACGTTACTATAAAGGATACTTCACCCGTCTTCCTGTGTTGCCTTTCTCTCCAGAAGGTCCAGGAAATCCACATTCTCCCTAGATTAACAATGGGGGAATAAAGAAGAAAACATTAATGATTGTTCTTTCTGATAAATGTGGTTCCCAGATTTTGTCTGGCAGAATCCACCTTCAATCAGATACGCAACCCGAAACACTAAACCACAAAACTTCCGTTCAGGTTTAAAGCCCATTCAAAGGCTTAAAAATCTGTACGTATGAACCCTAAGGTAGGTGTCTTTAATTGCACTGCACATTTAAAGCAATGATTACCTGTTCTCCATCAGTGCCATCAAATCCTCTCTCACCATGTTCACCCTGTAGCAATAAGCAAAAAAAAAACAAAGCTATAAGCATCAGTCCACTTGCCTCTTTCAGCAAGGCAAGACGTGTTCACACTATTTTTGGGAACTTAAGTAAGAATAGTGGTTTTCAATGGCTAGCAAGAATAACTAAGAATAAAAATTACACATAGGAATTAATAAATTCAGATTTTAATGAATCATTAACTTTTAAAACAATTCATAGTTAAGAACATTTAATAAGAACAATGGTTATTAAAACTATCTTCACCAGGATTTAAATTCTGCTTTTCTATCGGTTATTTTTCAAATACTTTTCCCAACTGCAGCACCTTCAAAATCTAGATACATTCCAAAATATAACTACCAATATCTGATCTAACATGCTGCTAATCCTGTAATTCTGGTGTCAACCATCATATGTGTTTGTATTGTACTTTTGTTTTTAAAATAATTTTATACTGTGAATGGTGTATTGAAAAGCTGGAAAGAATAACCATGATAAAAACAATTACAGAAGACTGATCTTAGGCTTTAGGACTTGTTAATGACATTTCATTACTGTTTCAGCAATGTAGTGCTTGCTACATAAACAGCAGTCACATTCCCATTCAAACACACACTGGTATTCTCTTCCCTTTATCTGCAAAAATGAATCACCATATTGCAACCATTTATGGAAGTCATTTTCTCACAAAACACTCATCCCAGCCTTAGTGATCTGAACTTGTTGTTCAGATGACGAGTGAGGCTTCTGAGTAGGGTAATAACTGTGAGAACATTCTTTAATTTATGTATGCTCCACAATGTTTCACATGTGCCCAAATGGCACACTCAATTTCTAAAGGATATTTTGAAGTGTTTCTTCCGTCTTTCTTTTCTAGGATAAAAATGAAGGAATCAACTGTGATGTTTTTATTTGTAGTAAGAAATGAAATTAGCAGACACCACTACCCTGAAAGCTGAAAGGATATGCAGCAAATCACTGAAAGTGGCACAAGAGCATACTGTAAATGCTAGTTAAACCAACAGGAGTCTCACTTTGATAGAGACTACAGATACAATTGCTTTGTAGGTTTTGATGCTAAATTGACTTCGCAAAACCACCTAGTTAAAGTTCCTGAGGAAAACTTTCATTCATTTATAACAGTTTTTTTATGTACTACAAGAAAAATTAGCTGTCTGTACATTTTCATAAGATTAATGTCAAAACCAAAAATTCCTGGAATAAGTATTGCAGAAAAAAATTGAACACTAAGTAAGCAATCATGACTTTTAGTCAAGTCTTATTTTTTCCCTCACTGTTTCCTACTTCAGAAAACCTGAGCCAAACTTCATAGTATTAAATATTCAATATTGCCTTTTCTTCTCAAAATAGCTGTACTAAAATGTCTTGCAGACTTCAATAAACTGCCTCAACCTTACTAAGTTTGCAGTACTAAGTCACATTTTTAATGTGCTGAAAGTTTCACATTTTAGTTAAAATAAAATTAGTGGATATAATGACACAACATAATGAAGACATTCACATATTCACTGGATTTCAGTAGGGTCTATGCTCCTCATAAGTCCTGCTGTACAATTCAACTTGGATAAACCAAAACCATCAGCAAGCACTCTCCTTCTACAATCAGATGTTTCAGATATTTAAAGGACAAATTACTTCAGGGAACAGAGCAGAAAATGGAAAAGGGAAGTAAAATACATCAGAGGATTAAAAAAGTCAGTACAGAGCAGTACTTTAAATGGAGCTGAGGTATCAGAAACACTCTCTGAAGTTTCTCACATGTATAGCTGCTCAAGTTTGGAAGTCTGAGTATCTTCTGAGTCTTTGAGGCTCTTAAATCTTTCCTAGGAGTGGTTTTGTATCAAAGCCCCCAGTACAATTTGAATTCTATTTTAATTCCTCCAGCTTGGGAACTAATATTACCATTATCATTGTCTTCCAGGCTTCACATTTTATTAACGAATTGGTGACAAAATCTCTTTGATGAACAGGTAAGTTTGAAAGGTTAAATAAGCAGAACTGCAAGATCAGTGGATGACAAAAACTTCTGAAGAGAAGTCTGGATATTGAAAAAGTATCACTAATGATTCCATGAAAATGCTGTCTAAATCTGCAATAAATATTAGTGACAATCTTTTTTCCCCCTTTCTGCTCTGCTTCCTCAGCAATTAGAATATGAGATTCAGTTAATCAGAATTACCACCTTGACAGATTATTAAAATAGCCAGTAAATAAATTCCTTTCCTGTCAATTAGACTAAATCCACTATGACTGCAACCATGCTAAAAATACAAGTAAGACTGGTGGTTTTTAATAATGTGATACCTAACAGCCCACATTTAAACCCACTCTTATACAAATGTTGCAAAAGTACATTAAATACTCTGAAGTTTTTACACTGTTTTCCTTCGTTGTTGATATTGTCTTCTTACAAGGTAACACAAAAGGAGGCAGAACAGTGTTCTCAAAGAAAATTGATTGCACAGAACACATACCTGACTTCCTCTATATCCCCTGGCCCCCTGAAATTGAAAATAAACATAGGTGAAATTTGAAAGTATTTTTAGTGAGCTTGAGAAGCAGGGCACAATAGCTTGCTGTGCAGAGGCATGCTAGGCTCAGAATTCGTAGTCCCTACTGTAAAATCTCCTACTTCCAAATACAGGATTGACACCTTTCCTGTGGGAAGACAGAACAGCCTTCAATTTCATTTCCGTTCTGTAAAGCTTTGTAGTTTTATCTAAGGCCAGCCTGGAGTTTGTGGTGGAAAAGTCACTGGCAAGCTGCTGAGTCAGCAAACTCCTTAGGCATTTGACCATGCTTCTCTCCAAAGGAGATAGCAAGAAGTGTCTGCTATGCTGGGTCTTGCTGTCCATCCATGATTCATGAAGGCAGCACAGGAGTTTGTCCTCATTATAGAAAACAGGCTTGTGAGAAACAAAATTAGGAAACGCTTCAAAGTGACATACTTGCCTTCTGGCCTCTGACACCTGGACACCCCCTGTCTCCTTGAGTCCCACTGAAACCAACAGGGCCTCTCTCCCCCTAAGAAATAAAAGAGAATGTTCAAATTAATCCATACAATGATAGCTACTGGTTAAGTCATCATACAGTGGGACTGAGTGCACCTTCATCAAGTGTGTCAATGACACCAAGCTGAGTGGTGCATTTGGCACTCAGGAGGGAAGGGATGCCATCCAGAGGTACCTTAACAGGCTTGAGAGGTGGGCCCATGCAAACCTCACGAAGTATAACAAGGCCAAGTACAAGGTCCTGCAGCTGGGTCGGTGCAATCCCAAGCACAAATACAGGCTGGGCAAAGAATAGACTGAGAGCAGCCCTAAGGAGAAGGACTTGGGGGTGTTGGTTAATGAGAAGCTCAGTATGACCCGGCAGTGTACGCTCGCAACCCAGAAGGCCAACCATATCCTCGGCTGCATCAAAAGAAGCGTGGCCGGCAGGTCGAGGAAGATGATTCTGCCCCTTACTTCGCTCTGGTGAGACCCCACCTGGAGTCCTGCATCCCATTCTGGAGCCCTCAGCACAGGAAAGACATGGACCTGTTGGAGCGGGTCCAGAGGAGGGCCACAAAAATGATCAGAGGGATGGAGCACCTCTCCTATGAGGAAAGGCTGAGAGCATTGGGGCTGTTCAGCCTGGAGAAGAGAAGGCTGCAGCGAGACCTTATAGCAGCCTTCCAGTACCTGAAAGGTCCCTAGAAGAAAGCTAGAGAGGGACTTCTTACAAGGGCATGTAGTGATAGGACAAGGGATAATGGCTTTAAACTGAAAGAGACTTAGAGAGAGATTTAGATTAGATATTAGGAAGAAATTCTTTACCATGAGTGTGGTGAGGCACTGGAACAGGTTGCCCAGAGAAGCTGTGGATGCCCCCTCCCTGGCAGTGTTCAAGGCCAGGCTAGATGGGGCTTGGAGCAACCTGGTCCAGTGGAAGGTGTCCCTGTCCATGGCAGGGGCGTTGGAACTAGATGGTCTGTAAGGCCACTTCCAATCCAAACCATTCTATGATTCCATAATATAAGATTAAAGCACCATATAAGATAAAGCACACATAGAAGATTATATCGCCATTCACTGCACTACGGACACAAATGGAAGTCACCTGTAAATTTTTATACTGGCCGTAACAGAACAGTCAATTACTAGCCTGAGTTGCACCTTGTTCTCTGCTCTCACTATCATGCCATCCAATCCAAACCATTCTATGATTCCATAATATAAGATTAAAGCACCATATAAGATAAAGCACACATAGAAGATTATATCGCCATTCACTGCACTACGGACACAAATGGAAGTCACCTGTAAATTTTTATACTGGCCGTAACAGAACAGTCAATTACTAGCCTGAGTTGCACCTTGTTCTCTGCTCTCACTATCATGCCATGTTTTAGACTACACTAGCAATCTCTGACTGAAATCTCTGTACTTGAAGGTAGGCCTTTTGGTCGGTTGGTCTTTAACTGAATATTGAATGCGCTTCCTCTAGTCACTGATCTCTGAAGACTTCTATTCCAGGTTTGTTAGGATGGAAGCTCTAAAAAATATTGGAAAGAGAGCAGCATCTCCTAGCAGATCCCCTTAAAATTGCTGTCTAAAAAGATAAACAATGAAAAATGAAATGAGAACACACAGTAAACATGAGAGCTCCTATACTACCATGCAAAAGAGAAGACAAATTTGAAGAGTCTAAGACCAAAAGAACAAAGAACATTCTCTTTCTTTTCTCCTCTATAGAAATGTGTCTCTCTAAACTAGCAGAAAAGCAACATGGATCACATTCTAGATTAAGTTAGAGAATGCTGCCACAGAATCACACCACAATATGAAAAAACAGAAGTTTAAGCATTTTGGCCTGGCTGCATTGCCTATGTGAAACATTAAGACTAATTCCTGAGCTGAACAGTACACCATGAGAAACCAAAACTGTCCAGCATTATCTCCTCAACCTCTTTTCCTTGTGGCATCTTGTGTAGTCTATTACCAGCAGTCTGCTTTCTGTTGTTTATTTACTACATTCAAATGCTTGGGATGCTTCAAATTCTTATTTTGTGGCTGGAAAAAAGTTTAGCCCTTAGTAGGGAAAATTTGCAACATGAAAGTCATTTGTAGGCTTCACATGCAGGAGATGAATAAAGTTTCTGAAGGTGTGGACATGACCTCTTCTCATCATTCCACAGTAAAGAAAAGTGAATGGAACGGAAAATTCAGAGGCAAGACTCTTGTAATTTACCTGCTCTAGAATATTATTCTAGATTCTCAGAAGGTCAAAAATAGAAATTAAATTTCATACATAAAAACTAGTTCAAAATTGTTTTCACTCCTTTATCACTTAAAAAAAGATAAGATTTAGAAACTTTCAAAACAAAAAGCTGTGGTGAAAAATTTGTGCATCCCATTGCAATGTGTTCAAAATGTTTCTCATTTTAAAAAACCCTCAGGGTTTAAATTTAGATTCCTGCTCAGATCGTGTCATTCATCTCTGTGAAAAGATGTGAAAATAGTTCTATTCCTGAGTAAAATAAGTATTTTAAGTCATTCTAGAAATTGCTGATATGGAATTTTATTATATCATTCAGCAAATCAGGCCACCTGAAAAAAAAAAGTTCTGTGGAAACTGCTCAAGTAGTTACAACCAGTGATTTCCAAAGAAATCATAAAACCACCATCACAGTGCACTTTCTTGATAATTCTAGATGACAACTGTTCTCTTCCACCAAAACCTTTCTCTGAACAGACAGTTGGCTTACCCCAGGCTGCCTCATCAAAGGTAAATTCAGGCTGACCAATCTACTGTGAGAACTGGAGCTACCTTAACGTGGATTTTACAGTTATGTACAGAGAGAAATCCTTGGCTTGTTCTTGGTTTGCAGGCTTCTCACCTGTAGTTAGGAGTAATATTCATGTCATGGGTGCAGCGTTGTAAACCTAGATATGTGCTTATGGTGCTAAGGAAATCACCTTATTCTTTGCCGGATTTTTGTTTCTTTTTAGACAGCAAATGAGGAAGAAATACTCCCAGTGGGTTGGACTCTGGCTTATACACATTATGTTGAAGTTTATGTTGGGAACAGCACACTGCAAAGGATTCAGAAATCACCAAAATGCACTACAAAATTTAGCTTTGTTATCCAGTCATAAGATACCAACTCATGGTAAGAAGGGAAAGCATGGCCTTTTCTATAAGAACTATCAACACAGAATCTGGCTACGGTTTGTCACGAAAAATTGGTATATGAGTTAGCCATAAACATGCCACATAAGATGCTGTTGTGTGATTCTAACTGATTTTGTTTCTGCATCAGAAGTTAGCACTAACTATGGTGAGGTGCTGATGCACAGAGAATCAAGTCCGTATATTTACCTTCAGATACATATTGCTTAAACACATTTTAGGTTAATATTGATAAGCACTCAGTGAATGAGTAAGTGCAGACAGGTTCAGGCACCAACCAACAACATGTTAGCAGGAAGGAATAATGTTTACTTACAATTCCACCTTCCTCACCAGGATGGCCAGTAGATCCTCTGTAACCCGTACTTCCCTGAAAAACAGGAGCTTAAGCGGTAAGTAACACTGACCTCCAAGCACACTGGGTTAATTTCTATCAGATTACTCTGCACATGGAGATAGAAGATATCTCCTGAAAAGCAGATCTGGTTGTGCTGAGGAGGGCAGGATCCAACAACTACATTTACACAAACAGTCTGCACAGTCCTATGCACTTGACATGGCTGTGAAATAAACCTCGAAAACTCAACAATGTTCGATATAAAATTTCAGCACATTATTTCAGGAAACTGCCTGATGGATTAACAAAAGCTCGTTGTGATATTGGGTCAAATTGAGTATCTTCCTTAGTGATTTGGAAGAGTAAAAATTATACAGGAATGAAATTCTAAGGTAAAATGAAAAACATAAGGAGCTGAAAACTTGTTAGGACAAGGATATTGCAACATCTTACAAAGACTTTTAAGAGTATTGCAATGCTGTATATGAAGTGATGCAAACCTCATACTCTCAGTGCAAAAACATGAACAGAAAGAAACTAGAACAAAAGGAATTTCCAGGAATGAAAATAAACAAAAATGAGACATGAATTTGTGCTGCAAAAACACGCTTCTACAATTGTAGGCTGTACAATCCAGGCATCATCGTTGTTTTGCAAGCAGACAGACATGACTGTTCTGAACATAGTTCTGTCTAGGCACAGTAATCTAGACACTTTAGTAAAACAGAAAGGTGTAGGAAAATCAACAGGAGTAATGTAAGAAAACAGTAAATTGGTTTAAGAATAAATATTAGAAGACTATACTTTTTCTAAGAGATAACCAAAAACGTATTTAACTGCAACCACATAACTGAAGAGTGTGAACTACAAATATAATTTACTTAGCGTGTTTCTGGAGTAAGCAGAAATACTCAAATGAACAGTAGTCAAAAGCAGGCTATATATACTAAAAACAGTAATAACGAAGCCTACTAGCGTGCTGTAGAAGTGGTGATATCTGTAACACTCGAAAGGCTTAAAATAAACAATACCAAATCTTAAAAAAATAATGCAAATTAGTACTACATTAGATCAAAAGAAATTTATAGAAGAGGCTACTTGGAATAACCAGAGGCACAAAAGGATAAGGGTCAAACCTAGTGAAGAAGGATTATTTTCTACTCTCAGCTTGCTGGCTGAAAGTTTCTCATTCACAAGAGCTAATAAGACTCCTGGTTAATCAGACTTAATTTTTAAATCTCTCTGTTTTCTGCTAAATTGGTGAAGGAGAGTGCCTAATGATTTTTGTATGTACCAATGATTTATATTACAAAAAATACTTTTTCAATAGGAACATGCAGCAGAGAAATGATCACATTTCATGTTTCTCCTTCTCCTGCCGTAACAGCAAATATCGTGGGCACAATGCATGCATGCTCTGAAATACTACCAAAAAATGGAAACACTTTGAAAAACAAAGCAAGTCTTAAGTAATGTCTATCTTAGCTCTCCTACCTTCCTTCCAGGACCTCCCTGGCCACCATGAACACCATTTTCTCCAAGGCACTTACAAACCACCTTACAGCATTTCCTTTCTGCAATAGTATCCTGAGAAACGACAAGCAACTCTTCATTCATGTATATTAATCATAAAACAAAGACTGATTTTTTCCCCCCTTTTGTTTATCTTACAGAAGGACTTACAAGGTTTCTCTGCAAGATGTGTGTAATGTCTGCAAACCCAACACTCAGCGGTTCGTTGTAACCAAACCCTCTGCCAAACTCTGTTTCCCGAAGTTCAGTCATGTTCTGTGTATTGTCCAGGCCAACTAACAGAAGCGCATCAAGACCTTCAATGTAAGCATAGATTTAAATTAGTGAATGCCTGAACTATATCATTTATCCAACAATATCATTGTGAGTAACAGCAGTCCTCTAAAAGACTCTTACATCTTATGGTTTCAACACAGTATGTTAAAAGAAATCAAGCTATTGAGAACAATGTATAAGAGAAAAATGCAGACCAGTAATTTTCCAATTAACTTCTCTAGCCAGTTGTCAGACCAGATTGCTACTCAGTGTGCAGCAGTGTGAAACTGTTTCCTCTGCAGAAGTCAGAGCTGGGTCTAACCTCTGGTGCTGCACTCATCAGTGAGAAGGGCTGCCCTGAACTGCCCCAGCTGCTGGAGCTGGACTCCAGAAACCAGAACCATCCCAGGCTCTCTGCACCCCTAGGCATATTTCTAGCATCATCTGCCAACACACTCCCAGTGACTCCTGAGGAATGCCATATACTTGTGGAGAGGTAATGTGACGTGGAAAAGTTGCAGTAGCGGAGCAATACATTGGGCCATTGGTAGGAGGAGGCTGGAACATCAATGCAGTGCTGTAATACCTCTAAAGCGAAGGGAGTCAGTTGCTTTTCTGAGATCTTCCAGCGAATCATCCAGCCCATCTGAAAATACTAACAGAACCTGTCAGGAAAGGGAATAATGCCAAGTCAACTGAGAAGAGACTAAAACCTGAGTTGTAAAAAGTACAGTTTGCACTGAAAACTGGCTATGAGGTGGTCAAATTGCAATACACTGTGGTAGATCTGAAACATGTGCTGGAAAAAGTGCTGAGGAGCAAGGAGAACAGAATACAAAAGCCTCTCTTCCCTGACAGCACTCCCATTTGAGGGATCTGACTTGCTGACCAGTTCATACCATTGTTATTAATTACATCTGTCGTCTTCTTAATATGCTAGGTGGAAGGCCAATTCTATTGTGACTTACCCACGGAAGACCTTTCTCTGATGTCAGAAAAGTTCTCCTATATATGAATGTGGAGAAGAAGAAATTTTCTCCTTCTGCAAGAGCAGCTCCTGTTGGCTGCCACCTGAATCACATCAGGAAGCGCATCCTCTCTGGGTCCAATTCTCCTCCCCACAGATGCTGACGTTCCTTTGCCCTTTCCACACAGGCAGCACACCACCATACTCCACTCCCTGCCATATTTTTCCTTGTGAAGACATAAGGCTTAGCTCATCTAAGGACCCTAAACCTGACCCTTTTTATTGGCTATATTCCCACCTTTTCAGGCCAAAGAGCTACAGTTAAGCCTCTTCAAGGGCTGAGAAATGCACAATTTCTTACAGTTCCACTCCAAGCTACCAGCCTCTTCCCATGTCTCTCCTCACCTTCCTCCTTCGAACCAGCAGAAGTCTCCTCAGGCCCCACTCATCCAGGGGACTAGGTTTCCCAGAAAGGGGCTGCACAGGTAAATTGTCCTATGCCATCAGTGGTCATGAATTTAAGTCCTCCTAAATTCAACAAGTGAACAAGCATAGCTAGAGCTCCTTCCTTCCCATCCTTCTTCTTTTACACTCCCTATACTATGCACAGCTCCAATCAATCCGAATTCTAGAGAATTGCTTCCATTAAAGAAATTTTTCCACAGGTGTCAAAGGCAAATGAAGTGACTGCCACACCAAACATCACAATTCTGTGCTAAAGCAGCAAGGAGGCCAGAATTTAAGAGTAGGCAGAGTTAACCCTGGTGGTGGAAAGTTCCCAAACATCCAACACAGAGGCACTGGTACTGATTCTACGTTTGTTCAAGCAGAGTGTGATACAGCAGAGAGCTGGACCATAGATGGGTAATCACATCATAGACTGTTAGAAACAACACTGCAGAGACTTGGGCTTGATGCTATTTGTGGGCAATCTTTTAATTTTAAAAACATGGGGGGCAGGGTGGAAATGTGGGGTGTTAGCATGAGCATTATGTATGTTTACAAAGCTTTCCTTTATATAAAGCTCTTATTGGAACACATCTGAGTCTTGCTTTGTCAAAAATGCTGGGATTAGGTTCAACTCTTTTGCTGAAAACAATCAAATAGTAAAGAAGAGAAGAAATGCAAACAACAGAGAACCACTATCCCTGATGCAGTTTATAACTAAAAGTCTTTATAGAACAATCATGTTGTTGCTCAGGATCCTAGGGAGACTATACTGTGATTTCATACACAGTCTAAAGTCTTGTATTTTCAATTTGCACATAAACAGTATCAGAAAGGAATACTAATCCACTGCTAAAGTGCCGAGATATGCAGCATATTTATTTCCAGTAATAATGCATAGGTAGAAAGAAGAAGCAGCCTTGCTTAACTCATCTTCAACAGGGATCCAGCAGAATTGGCAATTAGGAGGGAAAAAAGCACTGCTTTTACTGGTATGTCAAACAAGTCCTCTCCACTGAGGCCCAAAAGAAGCAAAATCACATGTGGTCATGTTCCCCGTTCAGAATAAAATGACATTTTAAGAAATCTTTGGAAAAAAAATAGTATTAAATATGTACCAAATTACAACCTTAATTGGTAAGCCATGGCAAATGCTGCAAAAAAAAAAGAATGACAACTTTCATCTGAAAGCAGGGGAATTTGTAACAATATAGCTTTCTTACTCCACATCAGATTAAAATTAACACCTTATAAAAGTTAAAATAAGGTTCACAGAGGAAATCTCTTATGTGTTCTGCAAGGGCTAACCTGTCCTTCCATAGTAGGAAGGTCCTCCTGCACGGAGACCTTAGTAAGTGATAATATTCAAACAGCTACTACAGGACATACTCTGTGTTTTACCAAGTCAGTGCCTTATTAAGAATAAACTCTCAGGGCAATGACCCTGAAACACTCCAATGAGATCTAACTTTCTTTCACCTAATTGGAAAGATTCCCCATTCGCTTCAGAAGGATTAGATAAGTGTCATGCCTCTCCCTTCACCTCACTTCAAGATGGATGAGTTAACTGCAGCATCCATGCAGATTTTCCTGATCACCAGTTACTCCTGAGCAGAACTCAGCTTTGTTACTTGAAATTATTTGACAAGCTAACCACACAAGCAAACTTCTGTAAACAAAGTTCTTGGATGGTGTTTTCTGTGATTTCTGTTTAGAGCTGTCATTATTCTGGACAGAGACTCAAGATCAGGATTTAGAGCTTCTGAAAGATTACTGTTTCCACTACTCAAAGTGCAAAGTCATTCCATGGTCGATATAATAAGGTATTCTGTACAAATACTCATGATCATATATATTAACTCCAATGTTCTGGGTCCCATCTCACTGCAGGAGTGCTCAGGGAGTCAGAACTGATATATGCAGTTATATTAGGGTGAATGAAAGAACAGAAGGTTCTATATAAACATAAGGAAACAGTTTTTTACCATGAGGGTGACTGAGCACTGGCACAGGTTGCCTAGAGAGGGTGTGGAGTTTCCATTCTTGAAGATACTCCAAAGCCATCTGGAAACAGTCCTGGGCAGCCTGCTCTAGTTGACCATCCTTGAGCAGGGGGATTGGACAAGGTGACCTCCAGAGTTCTTCCAATCACTCTGTGATTCTGTTTATTGCATTCACCAGTTCCTGAACTACCTGTTTGTCTCCCTGGAGTACTCAGCACCAGAGTCTTTAAACATCAAACTGCATAATTTTTCCAGCATACACATTCACACCATTAAGTTACCTTCACTTCAGCAGAGGTCACACTAAAGAACTTCTCCTCAAGTGCCTGTAAGAAGTCTGCATTCAGATACGTGTCCACAGTCGTCTGTGCATCTAAGAAATTCTGGATGATCTCTGCATTATAGTCTTCAAAGTCAGAGTCAAAGATGAATTGTTTGGTTTGTGCCAATACTTGGAACTTGAAACTAACATTAACCGGAGAACCAGCATGACAGCTGGTATTTGGCAGCGATTTCATCTGGAGTAAAAGCTTGGGGAGGAATGCTTGTAATTTCTGTGTCAGAAGTGCTGTAGATGCTGGTCGTGTGTGTCTTGAAATATCAATTGCTATAGAAAGATCTATGTTGCAATCTGAAAAAAGTAGAAGAAACAGGAAACTATAAATATATGCTATTTGTGATCTTATCTTTTATCAGAAACATGGGAACAGAACAAAATTCAGTACAGTAGATTTAAAACCAGAAATCAGAATCAGTGACATGGCATTTTACATTTACAGAAAACCCGTCAGCCCACCAGTTTCAGTGGGGCTATGTGAACTTGCAGATACTAAGGACTACATTACTGGACATACGTACTTATCGAAACTGCACAACAGGTCACTGTTCCTCAGCTGTCAAATGTCTTCAAAGGGCCTAATCTTGCAAATGTTTCCATGAGCTTTGCTACCAATGGAGAATGTGTCACATATATTCCAATTGCAATAGGTAAACTTGACAGCTGACTGTCCTTCATCAGTTTGTCACAAGACCGGATGATAGATACAAATAGAGAACAACAGGCCAAAGAAACAAATGTGAGAGAAAGGGGCAGCATTGCCTACATACAATGTCATATAATCACCGCGAATAACAGCTGCTGTAAGGTGAGGGCTACCTCAGTTATGGAATTGCTTGCATAGCTCCTGACAATTACAGCAAATACGACAATATGGTTAATTCCTTTCCCCTCCCCAATCATCTTGCCCTCATTAAGCAGCTGAACCTCTTGGCTTATTTCTTCCACACCTTGATTCTTTATGTGTCATGCTGAATTTCATTCTGTGCCCCTAGATGCATTATCATCCATTGTTGTACTTCTGCAAGGAAGTCAAAGGCATGCAACTTTATCTGTAAAACAGCACTCTCCCTAATTTTGTTCCTTCTTCACCCATTGACTCTGAAATGCTTATCAAACACAAGGTTTTTTTCCATGTTTGCCAGTTTGGACTAGTTCTTATAGACTATTATTCCACATACACTTCACTACAGTTTTCCGGCACTTCCCTCACTCATGAAAAAGATGAATGTGTTCTGCTCTTTAACCAAATAAATTCAGAAATAATTTCACCTCAGAGTGGCCATTGCTATGTTTCAGTATTTTCCCTTGCGGTACAAACTGCCCCTGAGAAGGTATGATCTGCTGGTAAGCAGCATGAAAATCTTTAAATGTAAAGGTCACATTGAATGATTTTTTATGGCTAAAATATCCAACATTCAGCTCTCAGCGCAATATAAGAAATCTATACAACTTTTCTGTTTGGTCCACAACAAGGAAAAAATTTCTCTTCAGCAGTTATCTATGCACACATATATGTCTACACAGACATCCCTCAGTCATGCCCCTTAGCCAGGTTGTAAGGCTGCACATCTGATTTCAAGATTCACGGAATACTTGTAACTCAAAGGCCATCATCAGTTCAGGGTACAGCATTTTTTTAATTGCAGGGGATCTTGCTGATCAAACATTTCCATGAACATAAAATTTACTGGATCTTTCTTCCAGTATGTGTTAATGTCCAGCACACACACAGTATGTTTTCACAACATTTTTCTGAGATCTGGGTCTTTTTCCCCACACAGTTTGGAGGGAGTATGAAGGGCAACCACAGACTCAGCAGTTTAGCCCTGACAATTGGTCATCCACAGTGCCTAGCTCTTAAAACATTCTCTGCCAACTCCCCAGTGTACCAGCAATAATACCAAAACAGCAGTAAAGCATTCACTTTTGTGCTACTGTGTTGTGCACGAGAATGTGTAAAAACTTCTGGTAGGTACTCTATACTCTGTTGATAATCTGTATTTATTTTCAGGAATAAACACCTCTGTGTAGTTAACCTCTTTTTCTAATCATTAGTTCTCCCACACACATCCATGTCGTTAAACTGCCCTGTCTTACTGCTGCAAAGGTATCTTTCTCCCTTGTTGACCTTCCGTTGCATGCAGTTTTTTAAATTTGAAAAATCTGCCAGTTTAAGAGAAGATGGCTGGAGAAAGGGGAATTAATAGATTTATTACAGGAAAGAAGGTCAGTGAATATAGGAAAACAGATAACAAGACAAGATAAAACAGGCTTCACAGGAAGGTGATCTTCGTTTTCAGACAAGTTTATGCAGAACTTAACAATAAATACATGCATTGGTGAGATCAAAGCCAATATGCTTTCCTTAAATTCTCTCTCTTTCTAAACAAGTGTGCCTGTATATAAATCAAGTTTACTGCTGCATCTCCCATTAAATCTCCCTGTTCTCTGCCCATGAAACACGAGGAGGTGCTACTGCATCAGCCACGGTCAGGCTGTTCCATGGCAGTGCACTCCCACAGCAGCCCTCTCTCTCCGCTCGCAGCAGCCAGGAGATGCCTTTTCAGCTGGAGGTTTGCTCAGCTCTTGATGGGAAAAAGAGGGTGTGGGAGTGCAGAGCTCATACTGCAACAGGCCCAGTTGTCCTCTGCTCTGAAAACACCCGAGCTGATATAATTCACACAGAGAGTAGCTTCTGGCTTTAGGAGGGAAGGCTTAGCTCTTCATTTTGGCCCCCAACACCCCAACAAACACCAGAGATTTTCCAGCTGTTTAAGATCCCATAAGCCCATGGTGCAGGAGAGGCAAAGTTACCTATTTGTTCAGCCATTGTTACAAAAAGCTTTAGACTAGCAGTGTGATCATCCCAGTGTTCCTTTCTCACAGTAAGTTTCTGGTCACTAAAGGAACGAAACCTGGAGAACTGTGCTGGATCAGTTTTATGACATAACAAAGAACATATATCCAATGTGCTTAAAACATCACCTACATGGTGAAAACACAGGGAAGACAAGAAGGAACTTGAAAGGACAGTCACAGTCTCTGCAAGGATGCGCACAGACAACTGCTCTGGAACTGCCTCTTCCTGCTATTCGCAATCAATGCCATCCTCTTACACCACAGTAGGTCCCCCTCACCTTCAGCAGAGGAATAGCTCATCTTTTTGACGTGTCATTCGCTACATTTTTCTTCTTGCAACTTAACATACACATCTACAGTATTATCTTACTACATAGCTGGCACAAATATGTAATTTTAAAGAGCAATTTGTGTGTGTTTTCTGCTTCAGTCTTCACATGTGACAAGGTGATTGTCCTGGTTTTGGCTGGGATAGAGTTAATTTTCCTCCCAGTAGCTGCTGTGTTTTAGATTTAGTAGGAGAAGAATGTTTGATAACACTGATTTAGTTGTTGCTAAGAAATCAAGGACTTTTCCCAGTTTCATATTCAGCTAATGAGGAGGTGGTGTACAGGAGCTGGGAGGGAGCAGAATCAGACAGCCAGCCTAAGCTGGCCAACGGAAATATTCTATACCATAGATGTCATGCTCAGTTTATAAAGGGCTGTTGGGTGGGGGACAGGAAGGAATTTTTTTTTTTTCTTCTCTTTTCCATTAGTTCAAATCCTGTCTGATATGGGAGTTCCTTTTTTTCAGGAATTTTGTGAAATTCATGAAATCTGTGAGTTTCGGGGTTCTGTGATTGCTGCTCAGGGACTGACAGCAAATCGGTCATTGGTTGGTGAGAAAACTGTATTGTA